TTGAGCTCACATTGCATATTTTCAAAAGAAACCTTATTGAGTGTAGTCCCAGCTTTAATCTTCCCAGGCCTTAAAGGTGTAAAATCAATGTTGTTCCTCTTCACCAACCTAGTGATTAGAGCACCATGAGGAAGTCCCATATCTGCTGAGTAATTCTTTATTATGTTTCGATAAATGAATCGTCCAAGGTTTAGCCTTTTCCTCTTGAGAAGATAATCAAACCATGAGAGATCACTGCCAAGTGCAACTGATTTGAAGCCCTTCCTTTGAGCAATAATGCAACTAATAATCCATTGTAATGCTCTATTTTCTAGTGTAAAAAGACCTACAATAATTTGACTTACGATGCAATTTGAGGCAATTATGGCTCTAACTACTGCTATACTTACATCTTAAAACTCATCATCTCCTCCTTCAAGTATTTTTAATGCAGCACAAATTTCCCTAGGTGAAAACTGAATTTGCATCCCAAAAACCATGGTTTTGCACTTATCCCTTTTTAGTTTCAAATTAGCATAAAATTGATAAACCACATCATTATACACAGGCTCTTTAATTTCTAGAAAATTAATCCACCCAATTTCTCTAAATATCTCCTCTACATGCATATCACCTTTAGAGAATTGATTGAATTTCACACTATTGCAAGGTAGAACAAGCAAATTCTTGACAGCATCCTACTTATCATAGGCCTCCTTATCCCAAAATAGATTAGAATCAAAGGTATTACCTTCTTCTTGAGCCTATCCCTCAGCACTTGAACTGCCAACTTGTTTCATTTTGCTTCCAGCCCTTCTTGAAGCCATGAGAGAGAGAGAGAGAGAGAGAGAGAGAGAGAGAGAACAATAGATTCCACACAAAATTGGAGCAAAAGCATGAAGATTTGTGTTGGGTTTACAAGGATTTTGAGGTATTTGAGTGTTTAAATGGTGGGTTTTATAGATTTTAAGGGATTTGGGTGTTTGGGAAAGGAATGGGTGTGTTTTGTGGAGAAGAAATAGACTTGGAATGCGAAGAGAGAGAAGCCCGAATATCTTAAAAATTGCCAGGAGAACAGCTATAATACAGGTTCGGGTCAAACCTGCTCTCGGGTGAGTCGACTGTAGGATGAAAGCCGGCTAGTGCTAGGCTACCTCAACCATTCTATTTTATGTGGTTAAGCCAACTATGCAAAATTTGCAGTTGACTTCACGATCCTTAATTGATAAAAATAAGAGGTTTGGGGTTGTTTTGAAGAAAATGCACCTAATTTGATATTCCTTCATTTTACTAAGTTTAAATTGGACGTCAACTATTAAATTGTGCAATGTTAGGCATGTATCAATGTGTGCATCAACAAATAACATGATTATAATCAAAATACACACATCAAGCTCATTAATTTGCATAAATTCTTATAAGCAATTACATTAATTTCAAGAACCATATCAAGCACTAGAATCTAACATGCCAAGCTCATTTCTAATAAAGAAAAATCTATTACGATCAAGAGGTTTTGTAAATGTAACGGCTAATTAATTTCTAGTATCCACAGACAATAAATCAACGCCACCATTAGTAACATGATCCCTAATAAAATGTGCCTAATTTCTATGTGCTTTGTGTGAGAATGTTGGATAGGATTTTGAGTGAAATTGATAGCACTAGTATTGTCACATATAATAGGAATATGATCCATGGTAATGCCAAAATCCAAAATTTGTTGTTTCATCCACAACACTTGAGTGCAACAACTTGTGGCGGCTATGTATTCGGCCTTGGTTGTGGATAAAGCAACACTATTTTGCTTTTTGGAAGACCATGATATGAGCATATTACCAAAAAAATTGACAAGTTCCACTTGTACTTTTTCTATCAATCCTACAACCCACATAGTCTGCATCCAAAGATGATTGTAAGTCTAAGGAAGAACCCTTAGGATACCATAAAACCAAGGTTGGGAGTATCCTTTAACCGAAACTAAGTGTGACTCCTTAGGACAAGCTTGAAATCTAGCACACAAATAAACACTAAATATTATATCTGGCCTAGTTGCTGTTAAATAAAGTAAGGAACCAATCATACTTCTATAATGCTTGGGATCAATAGGCTTACCTCCTTCATCCTTGTCAAGATTAATTGAAGTGCTTATAGGAGTAGCTATTGGCTTACAAAGCTCATGCCAAACTTCTTAAGCATTTCCTTTGTATATTTGCTTTGGTTGATGAAGATGCCTTCTTTGAATTGTTTGATTTGAAGTCCCAAGAAAATGTTAAGCTCACCCATCATGCTTATTTCAAATTCACCTTGCATAGCTTTAGAAAACTCTTGACAAAGAGAATCATTAGTGGCACCAAACATAATATCATCAACATAGATTTGGACAATTAGTATATCTTGGCCCTTGTTTTTCACAAACAAACTAATATCAACTCTTCCTCTAAAAAAACAATTTGCAAGCAAGAAACAACTTAATCTTTCATACCAAGCTCTAGGAGTTTGTTTTAAACCATATAAAGCTTTTGAAAGTTTATAAACACGGTTTGGGTAAAATGGATTGTCAAAACTGGGAGGTTGTTCAACATAAACTTCTTCTTGAATATAGCCATTTAGAAAAGCACTTTTAACATCCATTTGGTAAAGTGTAAAACCTTTAAACAAAGGCCAATAACATTCTAATTGCTTCAAGTCTAGCTACCAAGGCAAAAGTCTCATCAAAATCTGTTCCTTCCTCTTGACAATAACCCTTAGCTACTAGTCTTGCCTTATTTCTAACCACAACTCCATTCTCATCTAACTTATTTCTAAAAACCCATTTAGTTCCTATGATGGGATGGTTTTTAGGTCTAGAAACAAGATTCCAAATCTTATTTCTTTCAAATTTAGCTTATTCCTCTTGCATAGCCATCACCCAATTAGGATCATTTATACTATCATCAAGATTCTTTGGTTCAATTTGAGATATAAAAGCAACAAAAGCACAAGTATTATGAGCATAAGATCTAGTAGTTACCCTTTTTTATGGATCCCCAATGATTTCATTACTTTTGACATAGGATCTCTCTCTTAGGAAAGTTGGTTCTCTTGGCTCATATGTTTGTTGCACTTCTTCATGTTTGTCCTCCTCATTTTTCTCATTTTGAGCTTCTTTAGTGTTGTCCTCCTTGAGATTTATACTTTCCATTTGTTCTCCAATAGCATCTACATATCATCATCATAACACTTTCTAGAGCAAATAGGGTTAATCTCATCAAATACCACATGAATAGATTCCTCAACAACTTTAGTATGTTTATTATACATACGGTAAGCTTTACTAGAAGTAGAATATCCAAGAAAGATGCCTTCATCACTTTTAGAATCAAATTTTCCAAGAGAGTCCTTTCCATTATTCCAAACAAAGCATTTTCAACCAAAAGCTCTAAAGTAGGAAATCTTGGGCTTTCTTCCTTTGTAAATCTCATAGAGGGTTTTGCTAAGAATATGCCTCTTCATAACTCTATTCAACAAATAACAAGAGGTTGCAACGGCTTCGGCCCAAAAGGATTTTGGCAAATCATTCTTACAAAGCATAGTCCTTACCATTTCCTCAATGGTACAATTTTTTCATTCAACCACCCCATTTTGTTGAGGAGTTCTAGGAGCCGAAAAGTTATGATCAATACCATGTTCAATGCAAAAATCTTCAAACTCATTATTTTCAAATTCTATCCTGTGATCACTTCTAATAGAAATAATAAGTAAACCTTTCTCATTTCGAAGCTTTTTATGAAGACTTTTGAAAGCATCAAGTGCATCTTTCTTATGTGCAAGAAAAGCAACCCATGTAAATCTAAAATAGTCATCAACTACAACAAGAACATCTGATTTCCCTCCAATGCTTAAAATGTGCATAGGTCCAAACAAATCCATATAAAGTAACTCAAGAGGTTTATTTGTAGATATGCACTTCTTAGTCCTAAAGGAAACTCTAGTTTGCTTACCCTTCATGCATGCATCCTACACACCATCAGTATTCACATTCACCTTAGGCAAGCCATCAACAAGATCATGCTTTAATACCTTAGAGATAACACTCATGCTAGCATGTCCTAATCTTCTATGCCACAACCAAGTATCGTCATGAGATATAAAAGTTAGACAAATATTGGCATCTATGTCATGCAAGTCAATCACATATACATTTTTAAGCCTCTTGGAAACAAACAACACTTTATCATTTCTAGAATCAATAATCTTGCAATGAGATTTAGAAAACACAACACTAAGCATATGATCACATAATTGACTAATACTAAGCAAGTTATGTTTCAATCCATCCACATACCAAACATCATCAAGAGAAATAGATTTGTTACCAAATTTACCAATTCCTTTCACAATTCCTTTCTCATTGTCACCAAAGGTCACAGTTTCACCATCCAAGGGCATGAGTGATGAGAATTTTGAAGGATCACCCATCATGTGCCTTGAGCATCCACTATCTAGATACCATTTGTTCTTCATTTTGCTCACAAGGCACACCTACACAACAAAAATCAATTTTTGATTTTAGGTACCCAAATTTGCTTGGGTCCTTAGGGGTTAGTTCTTATAGTTCCTTTTGGAACCCAAATTTGCTTTACTTTACCTTGAGGTAATAATTTCTTTAAAGGACATACATAGGCAAAGTGTGCCTTTGCACCACAACAATAGCAAGTAACTTCAGCATCAGAGAATTGACTTGCCTTTACAAAGAAGTTCTTATAAGTCTTTTGCTTTTTAGAATAATCAAATCCAATAACCCCTTTGTCATAAACACTTCTTCGAGATTTTAAGATAGAATCAAATTTTTTTTAGTCAAGATAAATTTGGAAACCGCATTCTCAAGATCACAAACTTTCTTTTTCAAGTTCTCATTTTTCTTTTTCAAAGCATTACTAGATTCCTCATTCTTTAAAGATGCAATCTCATCATTTAAGGAGGCATTTTCTTTAACTAAAACCTCATTTTGTTTTGAAAGAGATTCAATCTCATTTTTAAGTAATGAAATGGTTTTATTAATAGCAAGATTCTCATTCCCAAGTTTCTTGATATCATTCATAGAGCAATCAAGAACTTTGCATAAATCATCATAAGAATACTCAAAGGAACTTTCATTAATTGAACTGGAGAAGTTAGAGTTTACCTCCTCATCATTGTAGCTATCCTCTTAAGCCATGAAGCAAAGATTTGCAACACCATTCTCCAATGAGCTTTCACTTTCCGTTGAGCTAGTCTCATCATCACTCCAAGTGGTGGCAAAACCTTTCTACTTCATGCTTTTCTTGTCTTTCTTCTCACCCTTCTTCAATTTAGGGCATTCATTTCTATAATGCCCCATCTTGATACAGTTATAGCACTTCACATTCTTTTTGCTAGACTCTCCTTCATCTCCTTTTGCAAGTTTACTCTTGAAGTTCTTCTTCTTCATGAATCTTCTCACTTCTCTAGAGATTAAGGCGGAGATGTCTTCACCATTATAAGCATCATCTTCATTCTCTTCCTTTTGGTTGCTAGCCTTGAATGCAACATTCTTCTTTTTCTCAACAACTTCAACTCCACCATCAACTTTAATATCAATCTCATATGTCATCAAGTTTCCAATGAGATCATCAAGTCTGAAAGTGTTGAGATTTTTAGCCTCTTCAATTGCAGTCCTTTTGGCTTCCCAAACCTTAGACAAGCTTCTAAGGATCTTTCTCACCAATTCTTGATTAGGATAAACTTTATCAAGAGCCTTGAGGTTGGTGACGATATCATTAAATCTTGTGTACATTTCTTTAATGCTCTCCTCAGGTTTCATCTTGAAAAGCTCATACATGTGAATAAGTCCATTGATTTTTGACTCCTTCACTTGGCTTGTACCTTCATGTGTTACTTCAAACATGCCCCGCATCTCCTTAATCGTACCACACCTAAATACTCTATTGAATTCTGTTGGATTGAGAGCACATTGAAACATATTGATTGCTTTGTTGTTGATCTTGATCTTTTCCAAGTCTTCATCATTCCATTCAACTTCTTCCTTTGGCACCTCATTTTCTCTAGCAACTTTCATAGGCAAATATGGACCTTTCATAGTCACAATCCATGCCTTGGGCTCATTTGCAAGCATGAAGACCTTCATCCTATTTTTCCAATAATTATAATTAATGCCATCAAAGAAAGGGGCTTAGTGGTAGACAAACCTTCAAGTGGTTGAGAAGCTTGAAATTGAGCCATCCCCAATCAACTCCTAGGTGGTTAAACCTTCAAATTGGAGACCTTGCTCTATTACCAATTGTTGGCTCAATGCACTCCAAGAAGGGGGTGAATTGGAGTTGCAAAATTTTCACCTCTTTGCAACCACCAAACAAAAATTAATAAGAGAGTATGGAAGAAGAGCTTGCACAATGATTTTATAGAGATTCAGTCGAGTCACTTGGAGCCTAATCCTCTACTTTGGCTTCACTCACCAAGGATTTCCACCACATTCTCCACTAAGAAAAACAAGGGTGGCTTAAATGAGCCACTTAATCCTTTTACAAGAAGAAATGTATTTCTCTCAAATCTCATCCCTTTACAACATAAACCCCAAGATCCTCTCTACAAATCACTCTTGAACGAATAATTACACCCTCAAGATAACACACAAGTAGAACAAGAAGAGCATTATAAGCAAAGATCACACAAAGATCAAAAACTCAAGTTAAGGCACAAGTTGGTAGGTAAAGATATTCAATACAATACTTTAAAACTTATCCCAGATCTACTACCAACCATATTGATAGCCCCTTAGTCTAAAATAGCCATTTCTAGTTGTTGGAGGTCATTAAATGCTTTGCAAGTTGTATAATTTCAAGTTACAGATTTGTCAGTAAAGCTGGCTTTAACTCTAGAGCTGGCTTTTCACAACCAGCTTTGCAGGTTTCCTGCACATTTTGTTTTCTTGAAGAGCTAATTACAAAAACATAAAGCCAGCTTAGGAAATACAACTTTAAAAGATTAAAATATTTTTAAATAACTTGACCATTGTGCATTACATGCACCATCATAGCCAGCTGCAAGGTTAAAATCAGCTTTGTGTCCAGTTTTTGCACACGCCAAATTGTGCACCTAAATTTTCTCCCATAGAGTTGGCTACAGCTCTTAGAACCGACTCTCTACACTTGCCTTCACCAGAGCTGACTGCAGATGTTTAGAACTAGCTCTTTGCACATTTTTTAGCCTTTTTGGTCCCTTTTTAATGTAGTCCAAGTTCACTTACTTTTGTAATCTTTTGAAAATTTAATTACACACTTAAATGAACAAATTAGTTATTCAAATGTGTTTTGTAATTATCAAAATCATAGGTATAACAAACACCACATTTATAGCCTCATTTTACAATAACTAAGACATTAGACTTATATATTTATAAATAAATGGCATAATATTGCTATCAACTGCCCATCATTATCTCATTGTTCTCTTATTCTATGTTCTTGTTTCTGTGGAGAATATTGGGGTGTTTCTTGTTTGTCCACTTTCTAACATGTCTTATTCTAAAGAAACTTTAATATATGTAATAATAATAATAATAATATTTAATAACAATAATAATAACAATAATAATAATAATAACTTAAAAAAATTAAACATCCTTTATACATGGCCATAACCACATCCCATTTATACTTATGCTGACTTTTTTCTTTTTTCAGGTGCAAGGGTAAGCAACCTGTATGCTAAAAGGGCCAGTATTTTCATATCACAAATAGTCTATATAACTTTTTTTGGACCATAAATGGTCCAAATAAAATATGAAGAATCTAGTCTCACAATTTTTTTTTTTCATTTAAGGACAATACCACAATCCAAATCCCCAACTCCGTTTCTACCAAAACCACAAACATATACACTTAATAGTATTCATTTAAGAGTGAGACTCTATGGCATTCGAGAATTTTAAAGTATGTTGTTTGAACAGGAGTAGAATGATTTGCACACGGTTTGGGGTGAAAAAAAAAAAAAAAAA